CAGTGGGTACTAGCACTCTCAAGAGTTTGGAAATGGCTTTATAGCCTTTCCCATCTTTGTGGGCATTCACAATGCTCATGCGGAGGTCGTTGCTGAGTTCCTTTGTTTTCGCCATGATCATAACAACTGAGGAAGGTTTCATTATTGCACTTGATTTTATACTCTAGAACAATGGCATTCCAGAACTCACTTACCACCTTGGAAATTATTCAGACTGGCCTACACAACTTTACATGTGAACAAAACATGCAGAATGTCTGAAGCATGTGCATATCAGATGCATATGGCCAAATGCCATGCTTTAACAAAGGGTATGAATAATTTTGAGTGAGTCAGAATACAAATAAAGTAATATGCTTTTTTGTTATACAAATGAGGTTGTACAAAATTCATTCAGAATGTTTACCTTTCAAGTAAAGGTATCCAACCACAGCCAAAATATTCAGTATCCACCTGTCATTTTCCAGAAAAACACAAAACATTGAAATTTCAGTAGGGGTATGAATAATTCTGTTTTTAACTGTATGTTCAGACAAATGGTGAGAATTCAAACTCTCGGCAATAAATTTGTGAGAATATGTAATCTCATCAATGAAACAGTGATATTTTTTAATGAGAATATAAAGACATTCTCAATGATATCAGGGCATATAATATTAAAATAAGAGAAAGTGTATGTTTCTTTCTCTAGTCCTCTGCCAATAGCTGATCCTCCTGCAGGGAGAACAGTTGCCCAACCAAAATCAGGCAAATGAACTAGACACATATTCAGTATAATATAAATTTGTGGTGTGACCAACATTTAAATACAATGAATTCTGTGAAGATTTTTTATCTTACATTGGAATATGTATATTTTTCTGCACAGTTGTATGTATGTTTTCCTTGTTATATTGTCATCCTTTCTGTGTATATACAACAGATTGGTCATTCTAGAATGTACTGCTTGTAGGTATTGAGTATGCATATTAAATTAAGCATACTCAACCACTGTGTATATAGTACAGTTTATCTTGATGTTTTTTATTATCTTTGCTGTAACTCCTTCCACTTAAATGTAAACAACGTTGTGTATATAAAGTTATGCAAATTGTTGTGACAATATTTGGTACAGGCAGAAATTTTCAGTGAGGGTGGCAATTAATGATATATATATATATTATACTGTTTTAAACTGCTACAGTACTATGTATACTTTGTGTCCAAGCTTAACAGGTAATACAGTGTATCCACAGAATTTTATACATTAATTAGAGATATCTAATGCAGTGCAATGATTTCTGAGCCATATAAGAATACAGTATATTCAGCTGTGTGCTTGCTTTGAAATCTTAGACTATTACACAAATTATACTTCAATTATCACCTCTATATGCCTCCATCACATTCAACTTGTCATTTTCTGTGCGTACACTCATAGACCGTATAAATATAATTGATACTTCATTGAACGTCCTTAGTCACTTGATGTTTGTAATTGCAAAAATTCTGAAACGAAATCTTGGTGATAGAGGCTGACTCTGACTGACCCTTCTATGACTCCTCACATGTAAAAAATAACATGACAACATTTAAAAAAAAAAAACACTTTTCTGTTAAATAAAATGCATGTATGTTGGTGGTGTTAATTTTTGCTCCCTTCAATTGGATGCTTTTAGTTGCTTATGCAAGACATTTATTTACTTTCATACTACCGGTAGCTGTAGGAGTAACAAAGCTGGTGATTTTCGTGGTTTGAAATGAACAAATGTATTCAGTCGGATTAAAATCCAATATAAGTGAAAGCTCTGGACATCTTCCGTTTCAGTCACCAGAATACACCACTTATAGCTACATCTGATCATCTTCCTAGTATGCAAATTACTTCAGATCTTATGGCTTCAGTAACCAATCAGAACTAGTTATCGACTGCTCTTTTAAATAAGGATGATTTAATTTGTTGACAAATCTCATCAGAGAAGGGCTGAATCAACACATTTTGATTAGTCATTTGATTATATTTGTTTTGAGGTGATATACACTGATGACTGTATATTATAAATGACCAGAGCCATCAAGTATTAGATCCTATTGAGATATGCAAATAAGGGTGCAATTATTTTATTATAGTACAATGTAAGGTATAGATTTTGAAAAATCTAATTAGTCGCTCTTTTAGTATTCATCACAAAAAAAAATATGTTTCCATAGAAACAAGTCTAGCTACTCCTATTTTTCGCCCAGATGTGAAACATATTCAATAAAATATCAAAAACATTTAGTGTTTAAGAAACTATTTCCTTTTAATTTGAATGCGAGGCATGTGATTTCAAGAGGCCATGCAAATGTAAAATAAATTACTGCTTTATGTTTACGGAGCTATCACAGTCATGAAATGACAATAATCATTTGACTTTAGTAAAATATTTTAATTTCTTTGTACAAAACGTTGTATATTGCATTATATGGTCCTTGATAATAAAGGTTTCATTATTAGTTGCTAAAACTGTATGTTTTCAAGTGAAATTATCCATTGGCCATGAAGAAAAAAACATACCATGGGTATTCTTTTTAGTATCCAATCTGCTTGCGTAAAAATTTCAGAGGTGGTCAAAATAAGTAATATGTTAATGTTTCAGTATACAACAAATGTGAGTTTTGGTTTATATGCACTTTTATTGCAAATGTGATTCTCATATACCGGGTATAGAAGAAATATGGTTTGTTTCTCAGGGTGGCTGTGGGTCATCACAAAAATAATAATATTTTCCCCAAAGTCATTCTGGTTACCCACAGATACGGCATGTGGTGTGATAAATTTTATATTGAATATATATTGTCATCGATATATTACTCTACAGCATTATGTGAACATGTGGTTAGAGGTCATTTGAATATCCAGTCACGGTATGCATTATTGCCCGATTTTGATGTTTTTAACCTTGATTTGAAGTAATGTAAAATGATTTGATTGTGACAAGCACAAGAAAAAATTCTAAAAGCTCATATAAATTATACTTGAATCAGATTGCCTGCAGTGGGTATGCTGACCATCACCTTATCTATATGTATTAACTAAAATTGTTTTTTGTTACATTTTGAGATCATGCAAACTGTTAAAAAAAATGTACATTCATTTGACCTTGCACCTTACAAATATTTTTAAGGCATTTGATTTGACACAATGATTTGACACAATTTGTCGAAACTGTATACCTCTTCAGTCTTAAATTATTTTTTTTTTTTGATTACATATAGATCGGGTATAATGAAAATATTGTGCCTCAACCCTCTAACTTACTGAAATTCTCAAAAGCATTTTTAGTCTTCCAACAATAAAGATGTTGCTATATTCTAGAAGATGACAACACAACTAAACACAATTATGTTGCTTCCAATCCATATACGTCATGAATGACCTTGCTTCCATTCCATATAAGTCCATGTTGATGTCACAGTAGCACTTGGCTGCTATAGGGCAAGACTTGTATCAATGGTCATGGTGCATTGTGGGTATCGGCGATCTCACTAACCTTAGATGTACAACACTTATACGTAGATGAGTGTTATTTCTTCCCTCGTTTCATGATTGGTCACATTTCTGACGATTATATTTTGGGATATGCTGAAGAAATTCATAAATGCCAGTATCGTCGGGGGTGGACATCCGGGCATTTTCACCGCCTGGCAACCGGCGGCGGTGAAAACAAAGGCCCAAAACTCGCATAAAACGGT